GCCCGCCCCATCAAGAAGGGGGCAGAGGCCAAGGCCCGCAAGAAGCGGCGGGTGAGTGGAGCTGTGGACCTGAAGCCCTGTTCCCCCTGCCAGGTGCTGTGTCCCCCCTGCAATCCCCCTTGTCCCTCACCCTCGCTGTCCCCACAGATGCTGAAGAAGATGGAGCAGATGAAGAAGAAAGCGGAGGCCGTGGTGAGCACGGTGGATATCTCGGAGAGGGAGAAGGTGGCCCAGCTGCGGCGGTGAGTGGTGAAGATGGGATCTGGATCCTTCGTGCCATGCTGGGCTGGATTGCAGGGACAGCTTCTGCGCGTAACCCAGCAGGGCTGGCGAGGGCTAGGCTAGATCCGGGTGTAGGCTGAGGGGTGGGAGAGCGCCAAGGGAGCCCTGTCTTGGGGCACAGAGGCCCAGTGGAGCAGTGGGACCCAGTTTTGGCTTTTGGATACGTCCCAAAGCCAAACTGCTGGAGCGGGGCTGGGGTCCTGGGGTCACAGCCTCACCTTTTCCTCTTCTCCTCTAGCATCTACAAGAAGGCTGGGCTGGCCAAGGAGAAGCGGCAGGTCACCTACTTGGTGGCTAAGAAAGGCGTGGGACCCCGGGTGCGCCGTCCTCCTGGCGTCAAGGGCCAGTTCAAGGTGGTCGACAGCCGCCTGAAGAAGGACGTGAGGGCTCAGAAGCGCAAAGAACAGAAGAAAAAACGTCACAAGTGATGGGGGACCAGCTCCATCCTCAGCGAGGGACTCGGCTTGGGGCACGGCGCAGGGCTGGCTCCTGTCCTCTCACCACGGCCTCGGGAGCAGCCACCTTGCCCTCCTGCTCTCTCCCGTCGTGGGGACAGGGCTGTGACTTAGCCACACGTTCCTGTTAGTGCCTTGATGTGACATTGCCTCCTGTCCTCCGGTGAGGCAGGGAGGGTTTATGTGACCTCAGGATTAGAGCATCGACCCCCTTCCCGTGCTCCCTGTGTGGCCACATCTCCAGGTCTTTCACCGTTGCTGGCTCTGCTGGGAGACTCTTGCACTGTGGAGGTGGCCCAAGCATCTGGGCCAGCCCTCGCTGTCCCCAGAGAGGTTGTGGCTCCCTGGGCCGTGTTTGTCACCAAAGTCGCAGGACGGTGGGTGCTGAACTTGAGGCAGGCAGGTGTCGGTGGTCTGCACAGGGTAATTAAACCCTGGTCTGAAAGTGCCCCAGGATGTAACCTGCATCTTGACAAGGTGGGGGGCCTGTGCTGTGAGCTGCCAGGTCCCTTCGTGCACTTTTTGGTAGAGGAACGTAGGGTGGATGGGGTCTGTTCACCTCTGCTAACACCTGGGGGAGCCCACCTGCCTCCGCCTGCCTCCTTTATCTCTGGCAAAGGAGTGGAACAGCAGCTGATTCGTCCACCTTCCCTGCTCCAACACCCACCCTGCCCTCTCCAGGTGCTGGACCCTGCAAGTTTAAGAAAACAAAGACCAAGAGAAAGTAACGCGTTTGAGCAAATGTATTTATTTAGACGGAGCAGGGGCTGGGGGGACTGCAGCTTCTGTCACCGAGTGCCTGAAGCTGTTTTGATGGGACTGGGGAGGTGTCCCCACGTCCCTCTTGGTGGCAGTGGCGCTGTGTTAGTGCTAGGGAGGGGGTCGGGTTAGCACCATGACTCACAGGGAGAGCCAAATGGGGTGAGTGGTGGTGGGGACCTGCTGGGGAAGGGACAGTTGGTCTGACAAGGGAGGAGGTCTTGGTCCCGTCCTTAAGTGCGGTGGGGAATGGAGAGGCCAGACCTGGTGCCCTGGAGCTCTCTCAGGGTGGTAGGAGGGGGACATACTGCGGTATCCCTGGAAAGCCACCGCTCGGCTGCTCAACCAAAGTCAGTATCTGTGGCAGGGGCTCGTGGAGTAGGTCTCTGCCTGTGGGTCTGCGAAAGCCCCTGGGCTGTGGCTCCATCAGGTCGTGGTGGGGTTGGAGCTGAGCTACAGGGAGCTGCAGCACCAGAGTGAGCTGTGCCATGATGGTGGTGCTGTGAGGGTCTCTGGGCCACGTTCTGCCCCCGTGGACAGCCAGGGCCAGGGGGGCTGTGTCTGGTTGACAACCTTGAAGACTCAACTCAACCTGCATGTCCTCGGAGGCAGCAGAGGTTTTGCCCTGCCGTCGTGCTCAGAGCAGCCTTGGCATCACCTCTCTGGAAGGATAATTACCACCCCCCACAGGGCTGGATTCGCTGAGCTCCAGCCTGTCTACAGCAGCTGGAGTTGGCAATGGGATCACAGAATGGTTTGGG